TGGATGACTTCACTGTTTACGGTAATTCGTTTAATGAATGTTTATTAAATTTAAAAATGTGCTTAGACGGTGCCTAGAATTTTACCTTGTTTTAAATTACAAAAAATGTCATTTTATGGTTGACAAGGGGTTAATTCTAGGCCATATGTTTCTTCAAAAGGGATTGTCGTTGATAAAGCAAAAACAGATGTTATACGCTCACTTCCTTATCCCACAACTATGAGGGAAATTCGTTCTTTTCTTGGACATACAGGATTTTACCGCAGGTTCAATAAAGACTTTTTGATCCACTACAAGAAATTTCGATTGTTTCAACAAAATTATTTATCATTAAAAGTATTAATTTTTCATGATATATTTATTCTGACCAATTTTATTTGTTATCATGTTTGTTAGAACGACCTTGTCATGTAAAGTATATTGTGACAAAATTGTGTTCGTTACCATTGTATAGTATTTATTGTAACAATAAAATTTCATTACTATAATTAACTTATCACAATAAAATTTTTGTCACAATCAATTAACCATTTAGTCACGATAACTACATTTTGTCATAACTAACTTATATTTAAACATCAAATATAAAGAGCTTTTGTGACGAAAATACATAAAGGCAACAAAAATTATTTTGTCGCAGTTGCTATTTCATCACTAAATGTAATTTTACAGAGACAAAATATTTGTTAAAATAAAATAATTATTTTATCACAAAAAGTAAATTTCGTCACAATTAAGTTAAATTATAACTTCAAACAAAAAAGGTTTTAGTGATAAAAAGACATATTACAAAAGGTTTTAAACACGATCAGCATTCAACGTTGAATGGTTCCATTCAACAGTAAACAAACAACCCCTAAATTTAATTTCTTATTTTGTCTATATAAATTATCATAGTTTGTTAAATAAATTATCATAAATTATCTTTCTTGCAGGGTATAAATACAAATATAGGGTATCATCTGAAACAATAGCAAATTGTTCCCTGTCATCACTTGTATTTCTCCTCTTATTTGATCCATTCTAAAAAAAATCAGACTGAGAATGAGCTCGCTTCCCATAGTTATTCCTTTGACCCGCCATTATTATCAGCAAATGTTTCCTGGCAATTATAAAACTTTTCAAAGATTTACAAACTGAACCCATCTTGAGGATCAAACCACCCAAAATGTCTCCTATATTGCCTCTATACTTTCTACACTCGTTTTACATGGTTTGCCTCTAATTCTTAGAAAGTTATAGCATATTCTTGAGAAACGGTTAAAACTATTTTATGTTTCAATAAACTATGGATAAGATGAATTACCATTATGATCAGATCATAAATACATATGATTTAGGCAAATATGAAATAAAATAAAATAAAAGAAAAATCATGCGGCCGAACAAAAGGGACAGAAAATGTTGCGGAATGAAAAAGGGAAGACAATACCGTGGATCAAGAGAAGAAAGGGAGACCTTGCGGCCCAACGTAAAGAGACTGCAAATCATTTAGAACAACAGAGGGTAGAGTATGTTGAACATCGAGCATCTAAAAGAAAAGGGGCTACAAATGTTTCGGAACAATAAAAAGAAGACAATGCTGAGGATTAGACATGCACAGAAGCCGGATTTCAATCCGATCCGGATCGGTTTTTATCCGATCCGGTTTTTTCCTATAGACAACAAACCGGTTTATAAAATAATCGGTTCGGATTCTAACCGGTTTGGAGGGCCGGATATCCTAACCGGTGTAACCGGTTTCGGTTTGAAAAAAACCAGTTTTTTAAAAAAGCCGGTTATAAAAAAACCGATTATAATATTATTAAAATTACATCGTCATCAATTGCAACAAAGTTTACGATAATTGAAATACTTAAACACTTCCAAGTTCGATAAATTCAAATACTTAAAAACTTCCAAGTTCGATAAATTCAAATACTTAAAAACTTTCAAGTTCGATAATTGAAACAAAGTTTATGATAATTGAAATAAAGTTTAAAAATAAACTACATTGCCATCTCTTCTTCATCATCTTCGCCTTCTTCGTTTGGAGGAGATATTCCAAGTTCGACTTCTTCAATGTGTAAGTTTGCTTCCAAATCGGCATCAATTGCATCTTCTAGGGTGGTGATATGTTGCTTCCGAGCCGCTCCATCCAAATAATCCTTCAAACAAATGCATATTTCCACCGACTCGGGACTTAGTCTTGATCTCCGTTGCGATATAACCCTACCACTAACAGAAAAAGAAGATTCCGAAGCTACCGTAGAAGCTTGGACGGTTAGTAAATCACGGGCCATGGCAACTAGAATCGGAAATTGTGCTTCCTTTTTCTTTCCACCAAGCCAAAATATATAAACTTTCAAACTCTTCAAATGTCATTTTTGATAGAAAATCGCATTACATGTAATTTCCCAACTCGCTACTTGGGGTGGTAGTACGTGATCGTTTGGATTGAGAATTTACAAGAGTGTTAAAAAGATTCAAATTTATGTTACTTGGACGTCTACTAGATGATTCTACATTCGTTCTCATTTGATCGTGTATTACACTACTTGATCTGTATTTAGTTAAATAAATTGCAAACATGTCTCGAAAACATTTGTTAAAATAATTTATTTGGTTTTGGACAAAGTTGGGTTCATCATCGGTTAGATTAAAAGCAAACGCAATTTGTTCAATTAGTGTTTCAACCCCGCCAACATTTAACGTTGGGTTTAAAGCGGCGGCACAAGTAAAAATGGGGGAATCTCCTTAAAATATTTTAAAAGTTTTTCCTTCATTGCAAAGCCAATTTCTTAAAAAACTTCGGTTTCAAATTCAAAGTCATTTAGTCGGGTAGCCAACAAAAATATTTGATTAAGAACCAACGGGCTAGTAGGGTAATAAACACCGGATAAAAAAGTTGTTGCATTTTTAAAAACCCCAAGAAAATCGGTTATTTTGGTTATAGTTTCCCAACTCAAATCCGGATAAATGTTTGGGACATGACCCCTCTCGAAAAGCCGATCGTGAAATGTTTGCAATGTTTCCCTTTGCCTTAAGGCGGTATGCATCATCATCCAAGTTGAGTTCCAACGAGTTTGACAATCCAAATTAGGACCCAAAGCTTTTTTATTAATCGACTTACAAAATCGTTTATAATCATTTAGTCTTTTGTTGTTGTTACAAAGAACCGATTTTATCATTGTTTTAAATTCTAATCTAATCGGCTCAATAACATCCAAACCGGCTTGCACGGATAAATTAATTATGTGTGCAACGCAACGGGTATGAAAAAACTCACCGTCTAAAATCGGTGAAAGTAATATTTTCAATCTTGGAACCGTGTTTGTATTATTCGATCTATTATCAAATGATATAGAAAAAACTTTATTTTCTAATTTATAAAGATAAATTACCCTTTTTAAAAGTGTAAATAAATTAGCACCGGTATGCGGCTCACCGAATAATTCAAACGCGATTGTTCTTTTCATCATTTGCCAATTATCTTGATCTAACCAATGTGCCGTAACGGCTAAAAAAGAATTTCCGGTATTATGAGGGGAACTCCAAACGTCACATGTAAGCGACACACCATAACGGTATTCTTGGAATCCTAAAATCATTTTTTCCCTCACCGTACGCCACATTTTTATAACATCTCTTCTAAGGATAGTACGACTTACTTGATTATAACGTGGTTGCATTAGTTGTTGAATTGTTGCCGTGAAATCTTCATCATCAAAGTAGTCGAATGGCAATGCTTTTGTAATCACGAACTTTGTAAACGCTTCTCGTAATTTTTCGTTGTCGTAAACAAAAACACCACCTTGCGGTGTAAGATTCGATTGACTTGGATCCGATCTTGAGCGAAGTGCCTTGCATGATTTTGTCAAATGGTTCTTCAACGTTGTGTTTCCTTCCGGTGCAAGCAACTTTAGACAAAGTTTACAACGCGCCCTCCTCGAGCCATTTGACATCTCACATAAATCATAGTGATCCCAAATATCTTTGTTTCGAGTGTATTCGATCACTCTCACGACTTCAAGTTTTCCCCCGACGGAAGATTCAGCCATGTTACTCATGATGAACAAAAAATTACAAAAAAAAATTTGAGAGATGTTTAGGTGTTGTGTAATAAGATTTGAAAAAGTTGTAATCAACCAAATACATCCCCAACCTATTTATACATGTTTAGGGTGGCAAAATGGTAATTTTTTAAGAAAAAAAGGGCCACAAAACCCCACAACGGCTATATTAACGGCTAATTTTTTAAATCCAGACCGATTTTTTTTTTTCGAATAAAAACCAATTTTTTAACCGGTTTTTTCAAACCGGATTTTTATCCGGTAAAAAAACCGATCTAGGTTTTTTTTCCAAAACCGGTTAAAATAACCGGTTAAAAAAATCCAATCCGATTAAAAAAAACCAATTTTCCCCAAATCCGGTTTCGGATATTTGGATTTTTTGTTCACCTCTACTGAGGATTAAGGGAAAAGAAACGAGGCAAAACAAAAAGATACTGCAAGTGTTTCGGAGCGACAAAAAGAAGACAATGCTGAAGATCAAGGGAAAAGAAACGAGGCAAAACAAAAAGAGACTGCAAATGTTTCCAAACCAAAAAAAAGAAGACAATGCTGAGGATCAAGGGAAAGGAAACGAGGCAAAACAAAAAGACTGTAAATTTTTCGGAACGACAGAAGGAAGACAATGCTGAAGAACAACCTGTTGAAACATTACCGACTTTTAAGAGTCAAACTGAGAGGACAAGGCATTCAATGAGAGAAACCAGGAATAAACCTGTTGATTCATCTGATCCTGTCAAGGAGAAAGGATTGAGAAATCTGTTGTGGAACCGAGAAGAGCACGAGCTAGATCAGATCTATAATCAAGACAGTGTATATATATTCATAATCTTCTGTAATGGTTTGAAGAGAAATAGAGAAGATTACGAGAATAGAGAAGAGAGAACTTAGAGAAAAGGAAAGTTCATCATTCATTTCCTAAAGGAAAATATTGTTTACACAGCAGTTTTATTTTCATACAGGCTGGTACATGGAATCTAACAAATGCCAGCTGGCATTCTTCACTAACAGGTTGCCTAACAAACTGATTCTTTGTTTATCACAAATGCCTCTCGGATATCAAGTTTTTAGCAGGAAGCCCTTTCTTTTTACCCTTTTGATCTCCTCCGTTGATAGCACCGTTTGCATTCGAGGTGCTCCCACCATTTTTGAGAGTTTCCTCAACCTTGTTATTGTAATCACCAATTTTCATATTATAATAAAATTAAAAGTACAAACAGCCATCCCCTGCAACAGCAAGGCCACCAACTTACCTGCTGCAGCATCCCAAGCCATCCCGGTTGTTGTTGCTCCTGCCCAAGCCATGCTCAGCCCCATGCTCCACGCCATACTCTGCAGCAGCAGCAACAAGGTCACCATCTCCCGCAAATTACAGCACCTTCAACTGCCAATCAGTTTTTTAATTTCATTTCAGTTTGCAATGGGTATAAAACCCAACCGAGACAATGTAAAAATATTGAAAATCTAAGACAGAACCAAAATTTTCATTTTTAAGGTATTTTAGCATCTTTCTTTACGTTTTTTATGCATGCATTTCAATCGAGTTATAAAAATAAAAATAAAGAAATTAATTTGGAAGGGAGGAGTCGGCTTACACTACCGCCGTCGGGTTTGTCTTGGTCAGTGAGGAGGTTTGAGGGTCGGTCCTGGAATGGCTTTGGTCGTGGCGCCACTGCACGTGGTGGTCGGCCTTGGGCGTGGCTCTCTCTCGATCGAGGAAGGAAAGAGTGGATTGAACCCCTGCGACGTTTAGGGGTTGCGTTGGACGGGTTTCCAGCGCCTCGCTAGCTGCTGGCCGAGAGGTGGATGGCCACCCATATAGTGTGGCCTGGGCCGCGCGCTTTGGCTCCTTTGAAGGCCGACCGCCGTAGCTTTGAGGGAGGGGAGGAGCTGGAATTTTTTTTTAGGTTTGTTTTGCTTTCTCGGGCAGTAATAACAGGGAAGGGGGGAGATATTAAGTTTTTTCAATATTTGGGATAACCACGTTAAGGTCCTTAGAACTTTAGCGTGATTTCACGTGTGGTCACTAGTTCGTGGATTAACCACCTATACGGTCCCTATTCTTTAGGAATTTTGTGTCCTGATCACTAGAGTATGGTCTAATTAGGTTTTTTGTCCTCCTTTTAGCCTGTTATACATTTTAGCTATCAGTTCAAGGGAAAATCACATTAGGTCCCTTTAAGTTTAGTTTTTTGCATTATTGTCACCTGCAATGGTTGTATTGTATTATTTAAATTTTGATGGCTGATTTTGTAATTTTAGCTTATTTTATTTAATAATATATTTTAGGTATGAAAATGAATAATTGTTAGTTAATCTTTACAATTTCAGCATGTTTTCTAGGTTATTTTTAGCTTGTTTTGATTTAGTTACTTAATTCTAAAGAGAGAGAATTAGGAGCGGAAGATATATTGCTTTCGTTTTGTGAGTTGTTCATCATTTTTTTTCTAGAGTTTTGTTTGGGTTAAGGTATACAAAAGGACTCGATTATATAGTATGATGCAATTCTTCTTACTGTTAAAATTTATAAAATATTTTTATAATGGTAATATATTATTTTATTGAGTTTTTTTATTATTAAAAATTACAAAATAATTATTTTATTATTTGTATGTTTTAATTTTTTTTATAAAAAATTTGATGATCATTGAGTTAGATGATGATAGTGATAATAATAATGGTGGTGGTGGTGGTGGTGAAAATGAAGATATGGAAGACCAATATGAAGACAAAGAGGAGGAGGATTACTTATAATTTTAAGTAAGACAATTATTTTATTAAAATATATTATTTAGTTTAATTAATTACGATTGTTTGTATGTTTCTAAATGAAATTACTTTTAATTTGTTCAATTATGCATATTGATTTATACAAATTATTTACTTGATTAAATTATTTACATAATTATAATTAAGGAAAAAATAAACTAGCTTCATAAAAAATAAATGAAAATATTTTGATAATATATTTTGTTATTATATTTTATTTGAAAATGCCATTGAGTTATATATATCATAAAAATTGATTTTTTTTGACATTTTATTTTTATAATAATTATTATTATTATATTTTCTCAATATAATCAAAATGTATAACTACAAGCATATTTTTCATAAAAATTTAAAATCATTTATTAATTAAAAAATTTTGTTGTTAAAATTTTTCTATAACAATAACTTTTATTATATAACATTTTTTGCACCAAAAAATAGGGAGAAATGTTTCTGATAGTATAATTTTTTATAATGATTAAAATATAAAATAACAAAAATAATTGATTACAAAAAACTTTAATTTTATTATCTGATGTGATAATTTTTTCTATAACAATAACTATAAATTATAATTACAAAACTTAGCAATATCACTTTTTGAAACGAAAAAAAGTGGAGAAAAATATTTATCACAATATATGTCATCACTATAATAAAAATTTATAACTACAAGTATAATTTATCACAAAAATGTGAATACCATTATTTTTGTTAAAATGTTTATTGTAATAATTATAAACACTTATACTTACAAAAATTATTACTATATGATTTTTTTGGCACAAAAAAATATGGAGGAAAATCTTTATAATAATATATTTTGTTACTATATAACATTTTTTACACTGAAAAATATAGAGAAATGGTTCTGATAGTATAATTTTTCATAATGATTAAAATATATAAGTACAAAAATACTTTATTACAAAAAAAAGTTGAATTTTATTAATTGATGTGATAATATTTTATAAAAAATATAAATTATAATTATAAAAATTGTCAATATAACTTTTGAAACAGAAAAGTGGAGAAAAATAATTATTACAATATATGTTATACTATAGTTAAAATTTATAACTAAATATATAATTTGTTACAAAAACGTGAATATCATTATTTTTTGTGACAATATTTTTTTTTGTAATAATTATTAACACTTATAGTTACAAAATTTTTCACCATATGACTTTTTGGCGCAAAACAATATGGAGGGAAATCTTTGTGACAATATATTTTATCATTATAATTAAAATATATAACGACAAACACTGTTTTTTTACTAAAAACTTGAATCTCATTATTTGTAGTGACAACTTTTTTTGTAATAATAATTATAGTTTATAGTTACAAAACATGTCACTATATGATTTTATTTTTGTACCAAAAATTGGAGATAATCATTTGTAACTATACATTTTGTCACTATAATTAAAATATATAATTACAAACAAAATTTGTCACAACAAATCTAAATCTCATTATTTATTGTGACAATTTTTTGTCATAGTTATTAAAACTTTTAGTTACAATAGTTGTCACTATATAACTTTAATTTGGCGCCAAAAAATTGGAGGAAAACATTTGTAACAAAAAATCGTAATAAAATTTATTTTGTCACCATATGTTAGACATGTTCGCTAATTATGACAAATTATTATGACGATTTTAACTTTTTTCATAATTATATATCTTTTTTAAATCTAATACGACGATTATTTATTTTGTCACCAAAAAGCTACTAATAGTGATAAATTAAATTTTGACAAAATTAAATTTATCACAATAATAGAAATTTCTTGTAGTGTGAAGATAGCAACCTTTATGCAATCAACTTCAGAAGGATTAAGAGTTTGATTTTAATTCAGAATGCTAGGAGTCATTTGATTCATTAAAAGAGAAGTTTATTTCAGCCCCAATTGTTAAGCCACCAGATTGGAATTACCCTTTTGACTTATGTGTGGCGCATTAGATACAAGCGTTGGAGTTGTTCTTGGTCAAAAAATCAACAAAAAGCCATATTTCATAGCTTATGCATCTCAACCTTCGATTCAACTCAGAGAAATTATTCCATAACGGAAAAAGAATTGTTTGCTATAATTTTTACTTTAGAAAAATTTAGATCTTATTTGCTTGGCATAAACTTATTGCTTATTTTGATCATGCAATTTTAAGATATTTGATGAGCAAAAAAGAGGCAAAATCGAGACTTATTCGATGGATCCTGCTTTTACAGGAGTTTAACTTAGAAATCAAGGATAAGAAGGGGTGCGAAAATCTGGTAGCAGATCACTTGAGTCGAATTCCCCTTTCCATAAATGATCCACCACTTTGAGAAGAATTTCCTAAACAAAATATGATGGTGGTGCAAAGCATAACACCATGGTTTACGGATATGGTTAATTATTTGGCCACAAGTAAGTTACCATTAGATTTGCCGAGAGCTTAAATCAATAGAATTAAACGAGAATCCCAATATTATATTTGGGATGATCCTTATTTATGGAAGCACTGCTCGGATCAAGTAATTCGATGATGTATTGCCGAAAATGAGGTAAATTCAATTTTACAATTTTTTCACTCTTACTCTTGTGGTGGTCATTTTGGGCAAAAATGTACAGCTCATAAAATTCTTGAACGTGACTTCTTTTGGCCTAACATCTTTCAAGATTCTTATCTATTTTGTAAAACTTGTGAAAGATGTCAACGTACAGGTATTTTAAGTCGTAGAAATGAGATACTGCTTAATCCGGTACAAATTTGTGAGATTTGTTATGTTTGGGGAATCGAATACATGGGTCCTTTTGTTTCTTCATTTGAAAATACTTATATAATTTTGGTTGTTGATTATGTTTCTAAATGGGTGGAGGCTAAGGCTACCCAGAATAATGATGCTAAAACTACAACTAACTTCTTGAAAAATTCTATATTTTTCATGTTTGGCACGCCACAAGCTATAATAAAAAATAGAGGAACCCATTTCATTAACCAAGTAATCGAATCGCTGATAAAGAAATTTGAAGTAACTCAAAGAATTGCTACCGCTTACCATCCACAATCAAATGGGTAGACAAAAATATTAAATTGAGAAATAAAAACAATTCTTGGGAAAATTGTTAAACCAGACCGTAAGGATTGGAGTCTTAAATTAACCGATGCACGATGGGCATACCAAACCGCTTATAAAGGTCCCATTAGCATGTCTCCATACATACTAGTTTTCGGTAAACTGTGTCACTTGCCGGTTAAATTGGAGCACATGGCATATTGGGGTGTTAAACAGTGTAACATGGACATGGACGCAGTTGGTGAGACTCGGAAATTACATATTAAAGAACTTGAGAAAATCCGGAGAAACGCCTATAATAGTGCTCGGATATTTAAAGAAAAAATCAAAAGAATTCCACGATAGTAGAATTTCTTTTAAAACATGGAATTACCCTTTTGACAAATTTAAATTTTTTGTAGGAAAACTCAATTCAAAATGGCTCGGACCATTTACAGTGACTCAAGTATTTCCTCACGATGTTGTTGAAGTTGAAGATAACTCAAGAGTTCGATTTAAATTTAATGGTCAAAGGTTGAATCCGTATTATGAAAATGCTCTGCTTAGTCTAATCGAAGAAATCGTGTTAGAGGAACCCAAATACTGTATAAAAAAATGGGTCATCAAGCTAATGGCGTTAAATAAAGGCGCTTGATGGGAGGCAACCTAATTCGTTTCATATCGCTTTATTTTTGTTTTATTTTTTTAGCATACTTTATTTTATTTTATTTCATTTTATTTTATTTTATTTTATTTTATCATATGCTTTATTTTATTTTTCACTGAACATATTCGAATTTCGATCGAATATATAACCAATGAGTAATGTTTCAAATATAGAGACAAGAGACGGTGCAAGTTAGCATAACCCACCCCCACATGGCACACCATAACATTCCCTAAATCAATTTTTCCCTTTTCTGCTGAAACTTCTAAGTTGGGGGAGTTTGAAATTCTTTTTCGATTTTTGGCAGGGCCCACATTATCATACTACCTTTTTAAATCAAATCCAATCACTTTTCCTTTAAAACATCTCATGGGTTCCACCTTTTCCTATCACCCATCTCCTTATGAAACCCAAATTGTTAACTGGC